TTATTATCTGTCTTCTCTTTCTTGTTACCTACTTCCTCCTCCTCCATCTTCTCTTCCTTGTTATATACTTCTTTTTCTGCCTCCTCTTCTTATCTGCCTTACGTTTCTTATCATCTGTCTTCTCTTTCTCTTTCTTATTATCTATCTCCTCCTCTTCCCATCCATCCATCTATCTGTCCACCCCAGTGCTGCCTCCTGACCTATTTCCGGCCCCTCCCTCCCCGTCCTTGACATCAATTCAGCCCAGGCTGAAGGACCATTTCCTGGTGAAACAAAGGAACAGTGTTGAGTCTTCTTTGGGCTCGGTCCCACCAAGGACATCGGTTGAGGGATGCAGAGTGGCACGGGAAGTAGCAACGGAAGGATTCAATCATGCCACTTAAAGTCATGGGGTGGGGGAGAGACTTGTGACAGTTTGGCCTCTCCAAAAACTTTTAATAAAGGGTTTTTTGAATAGCTTGCTCAATGCTGTGTCATCAAGGGTTTGGGTCAGCTTAAAGCATGAAGAGAAGAGAAGATTGGATAGAATAGAATTAGAATTAGAATAGAAAAGAATAAGAAAAGAAATAGGAAAGAAACAGAAAAATAGTAAAGAAATAGAAATAGAAAGGAATAGAATAGAGTTGGAAGGGGCCTTGGAGGTCATCTCGTCCAGCCCCCTGCTTAAGCAGGAGATCCTACAGCATTTCAGATAAGTGACTATCTAGTTTCTTCTTAAAAAATCCCAGTGATAGAGCGATCATGATTTCTGAAGGCAAGCTCTTTCACTGGTTAATTGTCCTCCCCGTTAGGAAGTTCCTCCTTAATTCCTGTGTTGCGTGAGGCCAGCACTTTGAGAACCATCATTCACAGCTTAGCGTGATGTTGGTTAACCACACATGGCTTTGCAGGAGGCAAAGAACCAACCCAAAAAGACTTTCGATATTTCTTTCATTTTTAAGCCAAAGAAAACCCCTCTCTTTTACCAGATCCTGGCCACCTCTCTTCTCTGATTCCCTCCAGAAGCATGAGGGCTAGAAACTTAGTTCCTGGTCAGGAAGCTGCAGAGTTCTCAACAGTCAGCAGGGCAGCGTGGCTGAGTTTTGCTTTGCTTCCCAGGCCTGCAAGCAGCCGTGTGGCTCGGACGTAACCAAGTGCTCCACCACGGCCCGGTGACGTGGTACATCGATGGGGCCCACACCACGAGCAGCATACAGGCCTGCGTCCGCTGGTTTCACCAAGCGGCTCTGAACGAAGACAAACCTACAGAGTAAGCTGGGACGGTGTGGGTGCGTTGGTGTGAAACCTCTGTTCGGAAGCTGGCTTTGAGGAGAGAAGAGAGCCAAAACTCCTCCGCCACGGAAATACCTTTGCAAAACGGATCGGGGATCCTATATTGTTGCATTTCTGGACTGTGGTTTTGTATTGCAGTAGGACTGGAAATCCCCTTTTTATGGTGAAAAGGGAAAGAGAAGGAGGGAGGGAAGGAAGGAAGGAGAGGGAGGGAGGGAAGGAGGGAGGGAAAGAGAGGGAAGGAAGAAGTTGGGAAAGGAAGGAAAGAGGAAAGGAAGGAAAGGGAAGGATTTAAGGAAGGAAGGAAGGAAGGAAGGAAGGAAGGAGGAAAGATGGAGGGAAGGGAGGAAAGGAAAGAAAATGGAGGGAAGGAAGGCGTTAAGGAAGAAGGGAGAGAAGGAAGGAAGGATTTAAGGAAGGAAGGAAGAAGAAAAGGGAGGGAAGGAAGGAGTTGAAGGGAAAGAGGGAAGGAATGAATTGGGAAAGGAAGGAAAGAGGTAAGGAAGGAAAGGGAAGGAAGGAAGGAGGAAAGATGGAGGGAAGGGAGGAAAGGAAAGAAAATGGAGGGAAGGAAGGAGTTAAGGAAGAAGGAAGAGAAGGAAGGGAAGGAAGGATTTAAGGAAGGAAGAAAGAAAAGGGAGGGAAGGAAGGAGTTGAAGGGAAAGAGGGAAGGAATGAATTGGGAAAGGAAGGAAAGGGAAGGAAGGAAGGAGGAAAGATGGAGGGAAGGGAGGAAAGGAAAGAAAATGGAGGGAAGGAAGGAGTTAAGGAAGAAGGGAGAGAAGGAAGGAAGGGAGGGAAGGGAAGGAAGGATTTAAGGAAGGAAGGAAGAAGAAAAGGGAGGGACGGAAGGAGTTGAAGGGAAAGAGGGAAGGAAGGAATTGGGAAAGGAAGGAAAAAGAGGTAAGGAAGGAAAGGGAGGGAGGGAGAGAAGGAAGGAGTTGGGAAAGGAAGGAAGAAGCTAAGGAAGGAAGGAAGAAATGCAGAGAAGGGCTGATAAAGTAACCATTCCTTTCCCTGCGTTTCCAGCGGTTCCGAAGTCCGAGTGTTGCTGTTCAACGTGACGGGAGACCGGGATACGGCGGCTTTGCTGAAACTTTTGCTGGTGAGCGATTTTTCTCCTTCCCACAGCCTCCCCTTCCCTCCAGGTTACAAGCGGTTCCTTAAGGATAGCACCCGAAATGGGACAACGGTGCTAAAACCTGATTGACTCCCCCTTCCCCGTTTCTGTTTTGCAGCCCTGCCATTTCGACTACGCCGTTTTCTGTCCCAACTACACCGAGGTGTCGACGTTGGGAAACGCAGGTCGGTGTTGAGGGGAAGGGGTGGTGGTGGTTTTAACTCCATGGCCGCCTTTTTTTAAAATAAAATTTATAAGTATAAACAATTCTCCTTCCATTTAACGGTGTGTCGTCCTGAGTACAAATATCTTGTGCAACAATAATCAAAATGCCTACAACATTCGTTGCATTATGTTTGCAGCGTGACTACTACTGTGACATAACCCAGGAGCAAATCACAGCACACACAGAGGCTTTGTCTTTTAACAGTGGTTTATATTCCAGACTGCTATATACATATAGACACGTGGTAGGCACATACCAGGCAAGTAATCAGTCTTCGTTATTCTGCACGGAGAATTACAATGGAGATAGAACACAAGGAGAGAGAGATATGTCCTCTCATGGCCTCCCTTATGTTGACAGCTTCTTAAAGGGGCAATAACCCTGCTGACCTATCCTCAGTCTTAAAGCAGCAATAACCCTGCTGACTCATCCTCATTGCATCAGCATTTACAACAGCTGGTCAGCTATTAATACCTTAACACATTAGTATTACCCTGTTTCTCCAACAATACGGCCTCCCCCAATAGGAAGTCCCAGCATGTTTTATAGGCATGAAATGAAATTAAGCCCCTCCCCCCAAATTAAGGCCTATATTAAAACATGCGAAATGGGGGGGGGGAATGGTGGAGGGGCTTGCCATTAGGAAGTACTTTTGTTGCACACCCGGATATGGTGCTGCCTGCGTTGACCCCGATATGAAGTGCCCCACCAACGCCGAGGTCAACATCCAAGCAATCGCTGGCCGCCTGTCCAAAGATGCAAGGGGGAAAATTAAGTCACCCCCGAAAAGACGGCCTAGTTATTTTTTCGGGGCTCAAAAGAAAACAAAACCCGGCCTTATTATATGAGAAACACGGTAGTTTTCCATTGTTCGCTTATTATTAATAAATATCTCTTACACTATAACAAGAACATGTTTCTTTTGAAGTCCATGGCCTTCCTGATGTTGTTTGCAAAATACTCGGGCTTGGAGACGTGAGGAGGGGGCCTCGTTCTGACTTCTTGCCTTCCTTGTTTGTTTTTGCAACTCTTCTGCAGATCAGCAGAATTTCAACGTCACCTTGGAGAACGTCCTGACCCGTTGCCTGCAGAACCAGAACTACTGGAACCGGCTGATGGAGGCCAAGTTGACCCAGGACCCTTGGTTCCCTGTCTTGCCCGAGGTGGGGGGCTGGCTGAAGCAGCCCTCGCTTCACAGCTCCCCCATCTTCGCGGCCTCCTCCACCCGCCCGCTCAACTCCAACTCCTTGGTTTTCCCTTGCATCTCGCATGCTTTGCAGTGGATCAGTCAAGGCCGGGACCCAAACTTGCCAGCCCTGGCGCCCCAGGGACTCCACCCGCACCCCGTGGCCAGCAGCGGGGCTGTTCTGCTTAAGGAAGCCGTGGCCATCCGTGTCCTCGTGACGGGCAGTCTGCATCTGGTCGGGGGCGTCTTGAAGTTGCTGGACCCCACCCTTTCTCAGTAGGCCCGTGGGAACTCCACCTTCTGCCGACGTTGGAATGGGCAGTGGAAACCTTGATGTCCCGCTCCTATCTGTGGTGTGGCACCATGAGGCACATCCAGCCATGCGATTCCCAGGAGGTCCAGGTTGAATTCTCAATCAAAGTGAGTTGATCTCCAGAGAACTCTTGTTGGTGGCATCTGCCTGATGGTTGAACGTTGATGGTTGAACCACTTGAGGTCCAGCTATTCTACAAGCTTGAAGACATGGTCCTTCTTCTCATAACCAAGTGAGGACCTCATTGTGGCGTCATCCATCTCCTCCTCCTTCTCATAACCAAGTGAGGACATCCTTGTGAGGTCAACCATCTCCCCCTCCTCCTCATAACCAAGTGAGGACATCCTTTTGGGATCAACCATCTCCTTCTTCTCATAACCAAGTGAGGACATCCTTGTGAGGTC